ACCCTAACAGTCGGTTGAACACCCCTATGAATGACTACGATCGAGTTTTTAAAACCTACGAATATCCGACCTCCAAAATGCATTGCCAAAGCAAGGATAAATGGGGCCCACAGCTTATTTATCCAATCCAACATGGTGTATCTAGCTTTATCCGGCCATCCAAACACCCCCAGAGGGTTTTAGTTAGGTTTGTCAAAATTTGACACAACACGATTAATCGACACAAATTAACGAGTTTGAGTGAGATCTTAACGAGTTTGGGTGAAAAACAGATTGACTCACCAGACACGTTTAATAAACGGGTCATATTCATGTGTGACCTGTCAAATCGTTTATCACACATTTACCCGTTTAAATAAAATTAATATAATAATAAATTAATAATTATTTTAAAAAATTAGCCAGAAAAAAGAAGTAAAAAAGTAAAGTAGTAGTTCATTGGGGTACAACTCGAGAGGGCTGAGAGGTCAACTCTAATACAACCCTAGATATATAATCTTCAACCTTAACCCTACCTCAACCCGAGTATTGTCCGAGTCTAATTCAAGCGAACTCAAGTTGAATTCGGTTTACTTAATTCGGGCTGATTTCAGGTTAAAAATCAGGTTGACTTGGATTACTTTATTCGGGTTAATTTTTTAAAGTGTAAATTTGAATTTTTCAAGTATAAATCTAATTTTTTCAAGTGATCTAAGATGAAGGGCGAGGCGCAGATAAAGAGGAATGACGAGAGAGAGAAAGAGGCTGAAAGTCTAATACGACTTAGACGAGTGACGATTGAGAGAAAGAGGTTGAGAGAGGAAGGAGTGACCTATGAAGCACAGATACTTCAAAAGGGTCAAAGTATCTGTATCGGATACTTTTGGATATGGATACGCATCGGATACATGTCGGATACGTCTGAGAAGTATCCTAAAATTAAAAAAATAAATTTCATTTTCGGATACGGCCGGATACGTTTTGGATACGAGTGGAATACGCATAAGGATACGGCGGGGTATTACTCAAATTTTAAAAAAGTATAGGGGCACAAGAGCAAAACTTTTTAGGCCCTTATTTGCAAAAAAAATATATATTAACCTAAAGGTCCTAAACCCAAACACATCCTGATGTTTTCCAACTCATATTTTCTTTTCTTCCACAGCCCGTCAGCCCCCACCCCCCTTCAGCCTTTCTTCCACAGCCCGTCAGCCCCCCACCCCCTTTAGCCAACAACGAACAATCGTCTCTCTCTCTCTCGACGAAAATTTTGGGTTTCTTTTGTTTAAGCATGGACTTGATATTATGCAATATGTATTTGTTGTTTAAGTATGGACTTGATATTATGTAATATGTATGTGATATAGAATGTATGATTTATGATTCACTTTATAAGTCATAATTATTACATTAAATATAATAATAAAATTTTAAANCTTATTATTATATATCTTTGGTAGATGTATGATTCACTTTATAAGTCATAATTATTACATTAAATATAATAATAAAATTTTAAAATATATATATTTTATGGACGTATCCTAACCGTACTCGTATCCTGTTTTTTTTTTGTTTTGTCGTATCCCCATACCTGTTTTGCATCGTATCTGTATCCGTGCTTCATAGGGAGTGACGAATAAGAGAAGAATTTGAGAGTGATAAAGACGCAAGGGTGAAGACTTGAAGTGAAGTAAAAATTTTGACTCTAAAGAGTAAAGATAAATACTAACTCTAGTTAAATATATTAATATATTTATGTATGTTCGGGTTCAACTAGATTTAATAATCGGGTTCAACCATATTTTAATATTCAGGTTAAACTCTATAACCCGAGACTTCAATCCAAGGTTTGCCCAAATTCAATTTGGGTTGGAGNCCGTATCCCCATACCTGTTTTGTATCGTATCCGTATCCGTGCTTCATAGGGAGTGACGAATAAGAAAAGAATTTGAGAGTGATAAAGACGCAAGGATGAAGACTTGAAGTGAAGTAAAAATTTTGACTCTAAAGAGTAAAGATAAATACTAACTCTAGTTAAATATATTAATAAATTTATGTATGTTCAGGTTCAACTAGATTTAATAATCGGGTTCAACCATATTTTAATATTCGGGTTGAACTCTATAACCCGAGACTTCAATCCAAGGTTTGCCCAAATTCAATTTGGGTTGGAGTTTTTTTGTCCAGACTCAATCCAAGTATTAAAAATTCTAACACAAGCCCTGTTTTTTTTTTTAATTGAGCTCAGGTTGAATTCGAGTTGACCCGCCCAAGTTGTACCCCTAGTAGTTCAACAAAGGAGGGGAGATGGGGAGTAGTTCATGACAAAGGCAAACCAACTCGTTTTGTTTTTGTCCCACGTCGGCAAATGAGAGGAGATGGAGAGGGCTACTTTGCCTATAAAAGGCAGTGGCCTCTTGTCTTTTTTTTTAGTCTTCAAGTCTAATTTTTATGTGAGATTTGACTAGAAATTCTTCTTTTTTGAGGTAAATACAGTCAACAGTAAAAAAAGTGATGTATTAAAATTTGTTGATATAATTTTTTTNGCCTATAAAAGGCAGTGGTCTCTTGTCTTTTTTTTTAGTCTTCAAGTCTAATTTTTATGTGAGATTTGACTAGAAATTCCTCTTTTTTGAGGCAAATACAGTCAACAGTAAAAAAAGTGATGTATTAAAATTTGTTGATATAATTTTTTTTTAAATTAAACGATTTAAATGAATCGTGTCGTGTTACCCGTTTATTAAATGTGACTTATACGAATTTATATATTTTTCACTTATTTAACCCGACATGTAACTATTTAACTTGACACGTTTGACAGCCTAAATTTTAGTTTTGGGCGAATCGCACTTTACGCTGAAAGATTTAAAATGCCCATTTCNGTACGAATTTATATATTTTTCACTTATTTAACCCGACATGTAACCATTTAATTTGACACGTTTGACAGCCTAAATTTTAGTTTTGGGCGAATCGCACTTTACGCTGAAAGATTTAAAATGCCCATTTCACACTCTAAAATATCAAAAAATTTACATTGCACCTACATAGTANAAGATTTAAAATGCCCATTTCACACTCTAAAATATCAAAAAATTTACATTGCACCTACATAGTAAAAAATATAGTCGAAAAGTTAACTACCGTTTCACTTTCCGTCTATGCTCGGACCACGTGCCCAGCACGTGTAAGTATCAGGTCTAATAGTCACAAACCTTTTTTTGGGTAAATGTCAGTTTGGTTTGCATTTTTTCTTTTTTCGAATTTAGAAAAGTGGGTAAATTTAAGACAAGAAGTTATTACGACTATTTTGTGTATTTTTTAAAATAATTTTTCTAAAATTTAAAAAATACTATTACCACACTTCCACCACCCCCCCCCACCATATTGTTTTTTATTTCGTAAAACTATTTTTAGAATCATATAATTTAATAAGTTCTGTAATAAAAAAATAGCAAAACACACTTTTTAAAACTCTTTCTAAAAATAGTTTATGAATACTAATTTTTAANTCAGTTAATTTTGTAATTCGGTTCGGCTCGATTTAAGTTTTCTACTTCTGCCTAAAATTGGGTCGGCTGGCGGAAGTAGTCACTTCCAACCCTAACAGTCGGTTGAACACCCCTATGAATGACTATGATCGAGTTTTTAAAACCTACGAATATCCGACCTCCAAAATGCATTGCCAAAGCAAGGATAAATGGGGCCCACAGCTTATTTATCCAATCCAACATGGTGTATCTAGCTTTATCCGGCCATCCAAACACCCCCAGAGGGTTTTAGTTAGGTTTGTCAAAATTCGACACAACACGATTAATCGATACGAATTAAACGAGTTTGAGTGAGATCTTAACGAATTTGGGTGAAAAACAGATTGACTCACCAGACACGTTTAATAAACGGGTCGTATTCATGTGTGACCTGTCAAATCGTTTATCACACATTTACCCATTTAAATAAAATTAATATAATAATAAATTAATAATTATTTTAAAAAATTAGCCAGAAAAAAGAAGTAAAAAAGTAAAGTAGTAGTTCATTGGGGTACAACTCGAGAGGGCTGAGAGGTCAACTCTAGTACAACCCTAGATATATAATCTTCAACCTTAACCCTACCTCAACCCAAGTATTGTCCGAGTTTAATTCAAGCGAACTCAGGTTGAATTCGGTTTACTTAATTCGGGCTGATTTCAGGTTAAAAATCAGGTTGACTTGGATTACTTTATTCGGGTTAATTTTTTAAAGTGTAAATTTGAATTTTTCAAGTATAAATCTAATTTTTTCAAGTGATCTAAGATGAAGGGCGAGGCGCAGATAAAGAGGAATGACGAGAGAGAGAAAGAGGCTGAAAGTCTAATACGACTTAGACGAGTGACGATTGAGAGAAAGAGGTTGAGAGAGGAAGGAGTGACCTATGANGAAAGAGGCTGAAAGTCTGATACGACTTAGACGAGTGACGATTGAGAGAAGGAGGTTGAGAGAGGAAGGAGTGACCTATGAAGCACGGATACTTCAAAAGGGTCAAAGTATCTGTATCGGATACTTTTGGATATGGATACGCATCGGATACATGTCGGATACGTATTGGATACGTCTGAGAAGTATCCTAAAATTAAAAAAATAAATTTTATTTTCGGATACGGTCGGATACGTTTTGGATACGAGTGGAATACGCATAAGAATACGGCGGGGTATTACTCAAATTTTAAAAAAGTATAGGGGCACAAGAGCAAAACTTTTTAGGCCCTTATTTGCAAAAAAAATATATATTAACCTAAAGGTCCTAAACCCAAACACATCCTGATGTTTTCCAACTCATATTTTCTTTTCTTCTACAGCCCGTCAGCCCCCCACCCCCTTTGGCCAACAACGAACAATCGTCTCTCTCTCTCTCGACGAAAATTTTGGGTTTCTTTTGTTTAAGCATGGACTTGATATTATGCAATATGTATTTGTTGTTTAAGTATGGACTTGATATTATGTAATATGTATGTGATATAGAATGTATGATTTATGATTCACTTTATAAGTCATAATTATTACATTAAATATAATAATAAAATTTTAAAATATATATATTTTATGGACGTATCCTAACCGTACTCGTATCCTGTTTTTTTTTTGTTTTGTCGTATCCCCATACCTGTTTTGCATCGTATCTGTATCCGTGCTTCATAGGGAGTGACGAATAAGAGAAGAATTTGAGAGTGATAAAGACGCAAGGGTGAAGACTTGAAGTGAAGTAAAAATTTTGACTCTAAAGAGTAAAGATAAATACTAACTCTAGTTAAATATATTAATA